TTTAATAGGTGGCTGGATTAGATGACCTTCTGAGGTCCCTTCCAGCCCTACTTTTCTATGACACCATGTCAGTATAAACCAAGAACTATAATGAAGTTAGAAGTGTAAACAAACCTCAGTATAAAAATACTATGTTAAATGTGAGCTGCATTTTGAGAGATGAGAAGCTGAAAATGTGACTATTTGTGAACCCTTAAAGACTGATAGAAAGAAAAGGCATCCTTGTCTTAATCAAATTCTTCCATAATTATTTTCTCTCTGCTTCAGATTCTCCTTCCATTTTAGTTCAGAAGTTACTCTTCACTTCCCCTTTCAAAAACCACTGTGTACTGTTCCCAACAGACTGGTTGTCACATTCCAGTCCAGAGGCCACTTTGTTTCAATGGCAGCCAAGTTTTCCCATGCTCCGATGCACGGTGGGAGATGGGTGCCTGAAGTTCGGAGGCCACTCTGAAAAATGCAGACATGTGTACATGCATCGTGTTTGCAATCTTTTCAGATGAGAAGAGATTCACACAAACTCTAAAAGGCTGATAAAACTTGTCCCAAGAACAAGCACCCAAAGAAACAGAAAGCATGAACTCGTTTAAGCTACTGCTTAAAACTTGTTGACCGACTTCCCTTGTCCTAACCATATTTGTTTAAAGATTATGTTTTAAAAAATAAACCAAAAACAGTTTAAAAGCCATGATAGTGTCACATTAGAGGTGGAGAGTTACTTTGTGACTGTTCCCTGCCCAAATATTCAGACTGTCTCTCATCACGTTGTTTAGTGGGTAAATTATATATTGGCTACCATCCTAACTCTGAGCAGAAATCTATGTCAGATTTTTAAAGTAAAACAAGATCCTCACTAGCTGGCTAACATTAACACAGTGCTGAGCCCTTGGATTGGCTTGGGACACTTTTCCTCTCCCAAGAGATTCATCTTGGCTTTGAACTCTCAGCCATAAAGAAAAAAAAATAGAGGGGGTAGGGTTGGGGGTGAGGGGAAAGACTGGGTTGAAATGTCAGCATCATCTTGGATTCAAATCAATCAGCTTGATGCATGATTGCAATAGCTAAAACCACTTCACCTCTGCACTGCCCTTTTCCATATGTTCTTTATATCAGCATTCGGCAGACTGGGTGGCTCAGTGGATTCATTTCCTGTCCTAGGTTGGGCTCCAGTTAAAAAAAAAAAAAAAAACCCCAGAAAAATAAAAAAATTATCATCCACTGACAGTTAAGCTCCCCAGACGTGTGTGTCAAGTCTCTTGCTCTGTCCAATGCAGAGCAAGGGGTTACTTGGAAGAAACACTTAAAGTCCTGGTGCAACTAGTGGTTTTAACCATCTAGTCCACTTGCTGGTCAGAACGCTACGAAAACAAGGAAGGAACTAGCCGTCATGTTTCAAATGCTCAAGTGTCCTTGGTGTTGGGGGGTGGGAGGGTCATGGGCAGAGTGACTTTAAAAAGGAAACATCAAAGCAGGCTCCCCCTATTCAGCTTATTAAAAGATAGAGGATGTCTTGCAACCACCCCTACGCCAAGCTTTCTAAAGCCAAAATTGTTGTAGACTGCAATGCAAGAGTTAAATTCCTGAGATAATTTTAATCTAAACAATCTGCAGCTATCAGCATTAAGTAGGTGCCCACCAGCTGGTGATAGTTAAGTGGTTACTTTCTCAAAACTGAACCTATTAGCCAAGGGTCAGACACTTGGTGATACTTGCACTGAGTTTAACCACTGTGCATTCTGTCGATGTGCAGCACATTACCAGTGCAGGGGGCTGGGCAAGGATGGACGGAGGAGATATTTCAGTCAAGAAAGGTTGCAACAAACCAGCAGCTAATGGCAGGAAATCCAGAACGCGGCAGAATCAGCCTTCCAGTCTGAGCTGCCACCACTACAAGGGAAACCCCCGCCCAAATAGGGGCAGGCCGTCCCCACTGTTCCACAATAGGCTGCAGGCAAAGAGGTTACTGAAGTGTTTTTTGAGTTTTGTTTCCTTAGATCCCCTCTTTCTGAGGGGATGCTGTAGCTGTTTGGGGAGAATTAAGACAGGAACAAGTGGGTCATTCTTTCTGAACGTCGCACTGCAAAGTGGGCACCTATGGACCTGAAGAGGTATCCCTAAAATTTGCATCTTCAGCTCCTTTCCCCCACGAACCTGAGGAAGGGTACTTTGCCTGAAAACTTGTCTGACACCTCTCCCAACTATACAGTTGCTCCACTAAAAGCTATCCCCCCAAAAACCCAATGCTTCTCTTATATTTCCTGAACTATTACAGCTCTAACACCACTCCAACCCTACTACTTTAATGATTTTGGTTGATCGTAATTATCTATAAACTTTATCAAACCTCAGCATGAAAATTCAGTGTCATTCCATGATCCATTGGGAAAGGGCATGCAGTCCTCAAACAGAAGGAAAGGACAATAAATCTTAAGGCTGATTTCATCTACTGTGGCTACTATCTACAATACGTGTTAAATAAGAGAGGATGGGGCAGGTACAGTGGAGACAGGTCTTTCATGGTATGGAGAGAATACATGTTAAACCAATGAAGGCAAATTCTGCCATCAATTACACCCATGCAGCCACATCTGAGTGCTAGATATACCCACATATTTAAAGAAACAGTTGCCCAACATCTAGTTTAAAATAGTTTGAGGTTCTACCTCTGTTCCTAGCCCTTTTCTTATGGTCCCTCAAATCACATTACATTTTTTTCCCCCAAAGTGCTCTTTCCCCAGCTCCTTGGTGAAACTGTACATGCCTCTCCCCAAGGGAAACCGACTGTACAAGGGAAAACAGATTTCTATAACCAGCTCTGAAAGATATATTAAGTAAACAAAATGAGAGAGAAAGAGAGAGAAGAGGCTAGAACGAGCTTTCATCTTTCTAAGATTAACAGCAGCAGATAAAGAGATTTGATTCTCAGTTGATGTCCCTTTCAGTAAAATATAGCTTAAATACAGCAACTCAAGAGTTCAAGCAATTAAGATCAAAGCTATTTCTAGAAAGCTAGTGGCAAGTCTCAGTTCTAGGGGTAAGGGTCACTTTTTTAGAAACTGGGATTGTCAGTTGCTCCAGATGTTTTCAAAAAGCTTGTACATGAAAGAAGGGCCTTGCTACTGGCTTTCAGCTCAACATGCCAGCACACAACTCAAGCCCGAAAGCACAGTTCTACCTCAAAACCTGACTGCATAAAATTGTCACCTCATTCAACAAAGCTGTTCCCAAGAGGATGCAGAGTCTCATTTGCCGACTTTCACAAGCAAGCTTCTGCTGATTTCCATTTAATCCTGCAGAGACAGATCCGGCACTGTGGGAGGGAGCTGGGTTCTCTATTTTGCACTAATAGAACTGTTTACCAAGCTGTAATCACTTACACCTGTACAAACCTATTGAAGGCTAACGGGCTGCATACATACTGCAGACGGACTCAAACCAATTCAAAGTCTGACTCAAACCGAATCTCGACTGTTGGGTGGGGGAGTTAGCAGAATGCCACTATTGGAACCATCTGGTCCTTTGCTGTAATCATTAATGCCACTGTTTAGTACCATGAGAGTTAAGTGACCATCCAAACCTCAGGGATGCTATTTCATTGCATTCCCTGAGTAGTCTCTTTCCCAGGCTCACATTCATTAGCACCTAGCTGCAATGTAAAGCACCGAGCTGCAGGTTTCGCTCTATATAGCTTTCCTACTTTTACAATTGTGTAAGCTTTTCAGAAGCTTCTGTTTCCACAGCAGCCTGAGGATGCCAGCCCAGGATCGCCATTCTTGCTCCCCCGTCTACCACGGCTCTCACAAGACAATTTTTATTTTTTTTACAGTTGTTTGCAGCGTAATTAATACAATGGCATAACGGCTCAAAAACAAAACTGGTGCTGATTGTAATGCAACACAGTTACAGATGGCAAAGTATGAGATATGCCAAATTCTTCCAACAACTTCTTGCCTGCCAGCTGAGTCAAGTCACTCAGATCCCAATCTAAAGACAAGCAAACCCAGGGCCCACATTTATCCAATTAGCTTCCATTTTTATGCATGTAAGATTCATAGGATACCAGTTCCTGTGATCCCACATCGCCCAAGGCTGAAATTAAAACAGGTCTAAGCAGAGCACATTTGTAAGCACTAGAAGGAGAAAAGCTACAAAAAGCAGAGGAGGAAAATGCACACAAAGTTCTTGCTATTTGTCAGTTGTAGGGAGAAAATGGAAAAAAAAATTGTCCTCCTTTCTTTTCTGGAAAAAAAGCTCCCTATTTTATTAAATATGAGACATCCAATACTAAGTGTATAATCTCTGTTTTATACCCCATGCAACCCAGCAATTATACAAGGGTACCAGGTATAATAGTGAATCATTTTGGTGACATTTATGCACCATCTCTGGGAGAACTACCTTGACATGGACAGGTACATGGAGGCTGACCTCATTACACACTACAAAGCAAATTTCAAGGACAGTCAAATAGATTTCTTTAGAAACGGTGGCTTGCAACTCAGTTCTCAATGACTGCAGTAGCTGATGGCAATGGAAGTTAACTCTACTTCAGGATGTGTGTGGGATGTGAGGAAAAAATGAGGGATGAGTTTCATTGAATGATAATGTGCAGGATTCAGGTTTTCCAAGGGATACCATAACGGGAGCACCAGACACAAGAAATGCAATATCCCCACCCACCAATGGGAAAATTACATGCTCCAGACACGGCTGAGTACGCTGCTACTGCACTGCCCTCACCACAGCTTTCTGCAAGGGCAAGGGACATGTATGTAATTTTGCAGGTTCAGTGGTTACAATCTCTTTAAAATTTGCCCTGCAACAGAAAAGTGATATTGGGTTTTATGTGAAAAATTCAAGGGTTTCAAGTTTTTATTTTTTTGGAAGAGAGGGAGAGTCACATTGAACTAAAGAAAAAATAAGACAACTCCATAAAAATACACTCTCTCAACTCCCCATTAATGTGCTGCAGGAACAGACATCCATTTCAATTGACTTACCCTCTTCGCAGTTACTCCCTGTGAACCCAGGACAGCATCTCCACTCCAGGGCAGTCACAGTTCGGTAGGACATTTTGTATGTGGGCCTGATAAGGGTCCTGTAACTAACACAAACAAGAAGTTAGCAGACCACACCATCCATCCTGTAGGGCATCGCTGCCATTTCCCAATACTCCTGGAAGTGCCATTTCTTTCATGCATGAGAATACCCCCGGCACTCAACCACAGATCAACTGCAGAGTGAATGGCAACATAACAAGTTGCAGAGCAGTTTGGGGGTCAGATCAACATATTGCGAGTCTAATCCTATAGTTCTTATTCTTCACATTAACTTCTCGCTGCCCTCTCACACTTTTCCTTCATAAGACACGTATGTCTTAGTCATTCCCAGCTTTAGGAACCGCCCCCCACTTGACATCCCTTGAGTCTCCATTGAATGCATTTATTACAATAACTGTCTAGAATTAATCTCCTCCAATGTCAGCCTCAATCTCTCTCTGTGGACATCAAACCATCAACTCAAACTGAACATGGATAAAACAGAGCTCCTCATCTTCCCTTCTTCCTTGATAGCTGCAGATATCATCACCAGGGGCTGTAACCTGGGTCTCACCTTCAACTGGATTCTCTCAGCTCCATCATCCAAGCTATGTCTACATGGCACAGCACAGCCCCATGCACACACAAGCTCCCAAACTACAGATCAGGTAGCCACATTACACCAACATGACTACCTTACTGCTTGCTCAGGAGACAGTGCTCATGTAGTGGACACGGCATGTCTCCAATCGGTGTTGCTGTGCGTCATTCAGACACACTCCAAGTCTCAAAGACTCTTTCTACATAGCATCTAAAACATGGCCAAGATCCTTGCCTGGGCTTTTGTTATTCGATGTATTGATTACTACAACTGTCTTTTCCTCGGTGTTGACCAATGCAGTTTGACCTGCTCCTACCCAGCCAGAACACTACTAGAGACTTTTTTTTTTTTAAACAAACATTAACATCGCACCTCTCCCTGCATCCCTCTACCGTCTCACCCTTCTCTATCACATGCGTTGCAAGCACCTTCAAGGTCCTCCAGAACTTGGACCCAACCTGCCACCCATCATCTCATTCAATAGCGAGTGAGAATTTCACCTCTAATCTGCTCGTTTGCATACCTGCCTCCGTTGCCCACTCGGTACATTTTCAACAAAGCACTAATTACTCATCCCTCACTGCCTGCCATGCTTGGGAGGAGCTTCTTATAAATATCTGCAAAGTTTCTCCTCATCCTCTAGTACATCCAAGGGGCTGGGGGTGCAGTGGTATGATCACACCTCTCCCCCATTTAATTC